ACATATGTATTCCTTTCTTTCTGCACTTTTCAAAAGTAGTTGTGAGTGGCACCTGCATGTCTGATTTCTCTCTTGTGCCCGTTGTTTTTTGCGCCTTTCCATGATTTCCTTCAAAGAATGAATTAAACATTTTTAATTAGAAAGGGCTGGCTCTTAGGCCTAATTGGGGAAGCGGGGGAGGGAGAGGGATCAGTGGAGGAGAACACATACGACGGTCGGTGCCCGCGGCACACGCAAACCTCCACTGGGAGAGCAATGTGTCGCGGGTGCCATCGTTGCCTCGAGTGGTCCACTCGAGGAAAGTCCGAACGTTTCGTGGGAGGTGCTGCTGCCGGAGGATCTAGTAGCCAGGACAGTCCCACAGGATGTGCTTGACGGTTGGGCTGGCTCCCATTGTAGACGTCGAACACGATACAGCGGGCGCAACCTCTTCGTCTGATAATGTAGTGATTGCGCAGGCGAGCTGGTGGATGTTAACCATTTTGTTCTTAGCCCGAGACTGAGGCAGGAAAAGAGGAAAGTTTCGAAGTAGAAGAAAAATGAACAGTCGTGTCCTCGACTGTTCATTTTTCTTCTACTTCGAAACTTTCCTCTTTTCCTGCCTCAGTCTCGGGCTAAGAACAAAATGATCTTCGTCTGAGTCTGAGTCTGCACAGGTAGCGACGGTTCGATGCCAGTCTTTCCGGTAAGTCCGCCATTTGGCTGTCCTCGGTTAGCGCGGCCCCTGCGCGGGCCGTGTGGATCATAACCTGAGCTCCACGTGACAAGCTTGGCGGCAGCGGGTGATCGTTCGCCGGAACTTGCTCCCTAAGGGTACGTCTACGTTCTTGCTTGGCTGCACATGCGGGCGGTCGGGTCGGGGTCGTCGAAAGCGGGAAGGGCATGGAGCGCCGGGACGGAGTGGTTGTCCTCCTTCTTGCTCGCCAGAGCGGGTTTTGATGTCGCTGGCAAGTTTGCCCATCCTGGGAGTGTTCAAGGCGCCTAATCGCCTCTCTGCTTTCGGTGTACACAACCACACGTTCTCCCGCCTTGACGCGACACGTCGTGCACCTTGTGGACCGCACACAGTGTCGCGGACAGTTCCAGTTGGCCTGAGCCATGGGTCGTATTGATGTATACATCTGCTCTCGCATAGTGGTGAGATCACTGCCAGCTTGCCCCTTCGAATAGTGACATCCAATCCTGCGTCAGTAAGCACTGTGTTTTTGGTCCAGTTGGTACGGGAGGCAGTCGCTTTGCGTTCTGCCTTGTGGTCCGCAGTAGTCCCTTCAAAGAAGAACCATTCAACATCTCCCTGGATAAGTTGGTTGGAAACACCACCATCACATCCTTGCGCCTGTCATCATGTCTCTATGTGTCGTCGCTTGAGGAAATGGCGAATCTCGCCGGTGGCACAAAAACATTATAGAAAGTTAGTCCAGTTACTGCGACAGCTTTACAAAGCTCTCGTGTGATCAAATAGCGGCCGCAGCTCCAACTGATTTTCGAAGCGGCTCGTTTTGCTTGCTTAGTGCTAATTCCTCGTAATTTTCGTGGTGTTCTGGAAGGTTATCTTCCGATTTAGACAGCGTCACCTCAAGGTATTTGAATTTCGTACCAACAGGGAGCGCAGTGTTCTGGGCGTTAAGTGTCTCAAGGCGTTCCCTTTGCCCGGAAACGAGCATTACAGCCGGTTTGCTGACATTGAATTGTATTTGGAGCCGTTTAGCTTCTGCTTCACAGGCGATCAGCAGTACCCTCATGTCTAACACATTGTCGAACATCTGAAAAAGATCGTCACCGTAAGCAAGCCAAGGGAGCCGCTGTTTTATCCCATCCCCGTGCTGAATAGCCTGTAAAGTGAAGCCAACAGGAGTTTGTTCCAATGCTTTCTCCATGCCGAATCTATATAGCAACTAGATAACGGGAGACAAAGGCAACCCTGAGGGAGTTCCCTGCGCAACGGAATGTCTGCGGGTGAGACCCTGCAGTCACGAAGTCGCTGAAGGATTGGGCTCAGCCAGGCTTCGGGCATGTCGAGCTGCTGGAGACTCCCACGTTACAAGGAATGATCGACACTGTCGTGCGACTTAGCCACGTCTAAAGAGCAACGTAATGAATTTCGTTTCTCCACCCGCACGATATAGTTGAACTGCGTCAGGGTATACGAGTAGGCATCCGACCGACGATATCTGCGGATGCCGTCTTGCAGGTCTCTGAGAACCCCAACAGCCTCACCCAGCACTATGCGATGCGTTAAATGAATATAGTTGTAGACATACATACTATCACGGCAAGGGCCGTGATAGTGCAACACCTCCTAGATAACAAGACCCCAGTGCTACATGAGATGGCGTAATAAGATAAGGCCAGCGAGGGGGCTGGAAACGAGGACTGCGACAGCGGATCGGCTTCAAGTCAAGTTTGAGCCGAGCGTTGACGCATTCGTCATGTCCAGTCTGTGACCGCAGCATTGACCTTCTCCGATGACGCCATCTCATTCGGCACTTTGACGCTATGTTATCTAGGAGGAGGCGTCGGACAGTGAGTGGGCGATAATCAAACAGGTGTTTGTTGTAGCCTTAGGAACTGATGTGACTCATGCTGAATAAAGCTGAGACTGGGGCAGAAATGAATTTGGGGAAGATTGTGGAGTTATCTTTGTGAATCGGCATGAAGGCCGTCCATCGCACTACTTTGTGTATTGGAGAGTTGGCGTTTGGACTGGAGGCTGTCCCTTTTTGTTGGTGGTGGCTGATTGCAGGGTTTGGCGTTTGAACTGCTTAGGGTTGCCTTTTTGTGTTGGCTGTAACGGATTTTGGGCTATATAAGGAGGCGGACTAAATAAACCTAGTAGCTGAGTTTGAGACGTCGTCCTCTCCCTTTTCTGTTCCTTCGAATTATATCTTCATTTCTTCCCCAGTCTCAGGTTTATTCAACATGGTTAACATTCACCAGGTCCGCCTGCACCCTTGCTATATTATCTCGGATCTGACTCGACTGCGCCTCCAGTAACTGCGAACGCTCCGTATTCAAAATGTGGTTTTGGGTTCGGCAAATGCGCACTGGTGAGCCCCTTCTTTTTAGGGTACCATTTTGTGGTACCAATATGGTAGCACAGAATCGGCTCCAGATTACATAGCCATTTTTTTCGGCCGCAAGTTGAAGAGGTAAATGCGGCTCATACTTAAAAGAACCCCGAGTGTTTGTCCCTTCCTTTTTTTTTGTCTCGGTTTTTCTTAAGTATGAACGTTCACCAGTTAGCCTGCGCCACAACCCTTAATTCTGCAATACGGCTCGTTCTTATCGAGCTTTTTCCGTGACTTCCACTGCGCAGAAAAACATTAACAACCTAACGCGTGTTTTATAGACCTACACACTGTTGACAAAAAAGTTAATATTTTGCCAAAACCAGGTTGCTGTCTGCTTCAATATGCAACAGCGCCTGAACCTATAGCGAATATTGTAATATATCCATGCTGTAAACGAAAGGCATAGCATACCAGACACTGTCTCCTCGCCAGCTTTTTGTTTTTTGTATTCGCTTCTGCAGAACTTTTTTTCTTCGCTTACTCTCTATTTGTTGATTTGTTTGCTGGCGTGCTTGCCAATTTGTTGTTTTGTCGCAAATTTTATATTATGTCATTATTTTTATACCTAATGTCATATGAACTTTTTTCGAATCATACGCATATGTTCGATGTATGTTTTATATTTTATTCGCCTTTTTGGTATTGTCTTCGCCCTACAATAATGCCCGGGTAAGGGAGATGTAGATAATGGAATAAATCAATCAATCGCCGATCTTTGCGACCAATTAACCTAAATTTAGCAACGTCATGTTTTGTCGGGAAGAAACGTTTCTGATTTCATGGAACAACTCGCAGCAGAAACGGACTCGCTGGAAAATATTATCACATGTGAAGAGGCGGAAATTTTAGAGTACGACGTGAAACAAAGCTACAATCGATGCTATGAGAAAGTCCCGCATCGCCCAAAAAAAAAATGGCAAGACAAGAACTATGAACGAGACAAAAGAGGAAAAGGGCGGCGCTGCTGAAGGGCTGTGCCGGAGCTGCAGCATTGTTTCTAACGAAAAAACATTTTGCGTATCGTTGTGCACCCCCCCCCCCCCCACACACACACACACATTTCTTCTTGTTTTTTTAACCGCGAAAACGAATTATGAACGAAAACGAACTATTCTACGCCCAGATGTAGCGCTAGGGGTATGAACTGGTTTGAACCAGGTGTCAGCGTTTCAGAACTCCGCGACAACTCTTTCGAAATTTATTACTAACGAGAACCAGCGCAAAAAAGCGACGGAGGACAGTTAAAATGAGGGGACGCTTCTCGTGTCCATCTGTTGGTTCGGACCGCTAGGGTTACACCTGAGCGGAGAGTGAGTGTTCAGCCACGCGTTGTTTAACAGCCACGCCTCGTAAGTCATGACCAGGAGGTTCCTTTACAGCGCAGACAGATGCGGCTCCAGAGGCCCCTGCCTAAACACATCTCTCGTTTCCATACTCTGGAACAATGTTCATTAGGCTTCGAGTAAGTCGGCGCCAACGGTGCGCAGTTGGGGAGTTTAAGCCGCTCTCACACTGCTCATACGTCATAGAACCGACGCGGGCTGCAGACACGATTTCGCTGCGTTCACGCCTAAATCAGGTTTCAAGCGTGTGTGCTTCGTGCATATGTATGCTTTTAGCATGTCTAAAATGGGTTTTTATATGAGCAGTGTGACTGGACCCTCATATACAAGGAAGGCCTCAGAGGGTGTCTGCAGCGTCTCTTTCGTAAGATGTATAGGGAGTGGGACCGCCGGTTCAGAGTTAGACCTTGGCGGTATTTCCGGGAGAGCCACTGCAAGCGAATTGTGTTCTCTAGAAGTGGTATTTTATTTCCAAAGTTTGCAGAGAGAAGTCACGAAGAGAGAAATTCACAGAGCGTATAGTAAATCACAACATCCACGTGATCTAGTGCTTTTATTGTTTTTGCACCGAAGCAGAGATTAGAAATTAGATACCTTTGGATTTAAAAGCGCCCGTGCAGAAACCATAGTCGTAGTCCCTGATCTTCATCTCCACCTTCTCGTAGATGTACTTGTAGGACTCTTCGTTGTCTTTGATGTGCCAAGTAATACCGAGGACCTTTATTGGCGAAGGGGAGGTGAATTTACGTCCATTAAGGTTTGCCTCGTTGCATTCCTTGAACCACCAGCCACCACTTAGTCTTGCGGAGCACTTGTCTCTGTCGGGTGTCTGTGTCATGCTCTTCTTGATGGTGAACTTCTCTCCGTTGTGGTAGGACAACGCGTCGTAACCTGTGCATGCCAAATACCGGCGTGAATCAAGCAAGGTTATTGACCGCTCTCGCACTACATTATGCTCACAAGCGGCAAATATAAAATATGTTCTCTTAAAGGCAGACATGTATAAACGTTTTACTGCGCCAGTAGATGCAACATGCTTTCCTTCGCTTCCAAAGTGGCAAAGCTTCCAATTTTGCCTCAAAATTGGTTCAACACATCAATTGACACGACCGAACTAGTAGTCTAAATTACGAGTCTCATTAATTGTTTGTAGAGGTATCGAAATTTTAAAATTTGGTCTGAAAGGCTCTATAGCAACACTGACAACACTTAAACCGTGACGTGAAAATTATGACGCTAGTTGCAGCAGGCTACCGCCCGTTGCAAAGGTATACGACCGTTACCATCCATCCATTCATCCATTGCTGTTATATGGGGGCAGCACAGTTTGTTCCCGTTCGGTAATGTTGAATGAATTCTGCAAAAACTCACGCCGGCAAACAAAAAAAAATAAAACGCTTAAAGCAGTGTGTCGTTTTAGACTGTCTGCTCGACTTCCAAGTTATATGTGACATCGCATTGCTGGACATCGCATTGCGTGAAAATTTTAATGTTGGCTTTTGCACAACCGTCATTTGCTGGTCTTTCAATAGCCAATCTAAATTGAGAGATAATAAATAGCCTGCTCAGAAGACTAAACTCTGGTTATTCCGAAAAGGCGTTTAGTCTGGCTAGGTCAAAAACCACTTAAAGCGTCAATAATTTACGTCCAGAATCGAAGTGGAGCTTCGCTGTACCAGCCACTATGAATGTCTGTGGTTGAACGGAATGGCAAACACAATCTGGAAGGAATCAACAGCCAAGACTTAACATTATAGCAAAGGAGTGCCCAAACTGCGGCTCGCGACTCCCTGATAAGCCTGGTGCCCCCCCCCCCCCCTCCCCTTTTCTCCTCATGTGTCCCCGCATCAAAAAAAAAAAAGTTCTGCAATTTAAAAAAAAGAAAACCTCATTGTCTTGGCAGTCTTGTACTACTCTGCCTACATACAGTTGGACTGCTTTTTGACACACAGATATGTCCAGCGACCCTGTTTTTTTTTATTGTTCTAGAAAAAAAATCGAATACGAATAACGGGCGTCGGGGGCAGCGGCTGATTGCTTTAGCAACCGTAAAGCAAAAATGACTGCACGGTTTAGTATTGCAAAGGGGTTGAAGAAAGGTACTGCTGCCTGGTGTTATTGGTTGTAGTCGACTATTATAATTGGCCCCTTTCGAAAGGGCTGTTTTCTCGATATCATCATCATCATCAATGTTTATTCACGTAAAGATGTGCAAAGAAATGTCTGATTAGTCATCTGGATCCATAGCCTAGATGGCTAGTAATGGATCCATTAAAAAAACATTCACATTTAAAACAATCCTATAGGCATTCACACAATCTATACATAGCTGTTTTCTGTTAAAAGTAGCCCCCGTTTCTTTTTCTTTTTTTTGCAGCTCTCTGAACTTTTGCAGTGTTGTCTGCATCTCTATCCCCATGTCACTCTGGCCACCTGTGTCATAGCACACTTTTTTTTACGATTTCACAAAAGGTAGAATATGCCTGCGTGTTTCACGGAACAACGGCGAAATTGTTCATGCGAAACTGCGTGTGACACAGAAGAGTTTGATGACGTACTGGTCTCTTTAAAGGGTGCACCCAAAATAATTATTAACGTCTGTGATAACCAGGTTCCTAATTATTTTTAGGTAATTAAATTTCAAACTATCAAATTTAAACATTGCTTCAATTAGAGAATTGCTAAGCATCGTCTGAAATCACAAAATCAGCCCGCTTAAAGAGCTAGATAGCACGCGCAGATTTTACCGCCTTTCAAAAACACACAGTTTGGACTCGTTTCCAGTTTTCGGTTTCCTGTCGGCAGAGCCGAAGAAGTCCTGCTCACAGCGGACAAAGCGCTCACTAACAAATGGAATCGCACATTCTTGGCATGATATGTTGAAAGAGGCAAGCCGGCAAAACCGATACCTACCGTCAGGACCCTCGTATTCGCCGATGGTCAGCTTGTACTTCTCCTCTTTGGAGCCAACATGAAATTTGTGATAGAGCACAACTGTCGGTTTTTTTTCTCCTGTTCTTGTCAGTTCGATTCTGAGAGATTGTTGGTTGTTCGGAAAACTTGTAAGTGCATGAAGATTTTTGTTGCCTTTAGCGGAAGGTAAAAATGCGTTTAGAATTAAAACATGAACGCCATCTCCAAAGTTAAGACTGAGTCATAAATTCTCCATGACGTGAGGCTTCACTCCTAACATGAGCTGCAGGAATGAGCATTGCGCTGACTAAAACCATAGGTGAAAGCGACCTAACGATAGTAAATTCAGAACATGAAATTCATAGAAGAGATAGCGATTCACATTTTTCGTTTCGCAATACTATCTAATCACATGGTTTAATAACATAGGGTAAAATAGTTTATTATTATAATTGTTTTCAGGAGCAAGCTGAAATGCTGGCAAAATACCATTACTTGTGAGAGCTTGTTTCGAATGGTGAGTATCAGTGCTAATCGCAAAGCAAATAAATACATATAGGCTACGTCACCTGAGGGTTCCTTTATTGACTGGTTTTATTTTACGGGTGGACCAAAATTAATATTCTTACTACAGGTGTTTTTTGTTTAACGCGAAAATGTGTTTTTTGTGTGTCTTTTCTTGTTTTGGTTTGAGGAAGATTTTAAAAGGAGATTTAACCTCACTCGCAGAAGTGCGTGGCGCACTGTGCATGTAGACCCACTAAAGTTTCCGGGAAAGTTTACCATGTGACGTGACGTTGCCACGTGACGTGATGCCAAGGTGTCACGTGACACGAGCGACGCCAGCTGTTTATAGGTGGCGCCATTCGTTTATCGAAATAGCGGGTATAGTGAGGGTCGGAGATACGTGATGGGTGTACCAGTTGCTGGGCCTGTCTCCTGGTGTGCTGGCTTCACTGAGCTACACGAATTATTCCCGCTTCTACGAGGAAGCTGGAGTAGTACGCAAGCAGGTCAAACTTTCCCCCCAAAACAACAAATATGTTTAGCGTAATATTGACTCCTTGATTCAGTTCTTTTTTTTTTTTTTTAAGAATGAAGCAAAGCAGAAATCAAATTTATAAAGCAGGCGAGCTCGTTAAGGTTACACTTGACTCTAAACCGGAGACGAACAGACGACAAGGGGACAGACACACACGTCTCAAAGCTCATCACTTTGCTTCAGTCAGGAAGATTGAGACGTGTGTGTTTGTCCCCTTGTCCGTTTGTCTTCGGTTTAGTATCGTGTGTACCCAAACTAACTTCTGTTTTGGAGTCAACGCATCTGTATAGACGTTTATGTCGGTTTCACTCCTGCCGACACATGTGCCTCACAACGTAGTTAGTAAGTTAAATAAAAATTTCAGGCACTAAAAGATGTGATTTTGAGAGCCATGTTCCATTCGATGGGTTAAACGGGTAGATTATTCTTGAAATTAAATGCTCGTACGCTACTTAGGAGACACATCAAGTTTCGCTATTTTTAGAGCTCTAATTCTACTAAAAACACAGTTTGACGTTTCGTCATTTAGATTATGAAAGTGGGAATCTATCTAGATTCTATCTGGATTTCATGTTTTCAAAAATTATTTGCTTGGCATCACGCTGCGGACACTTGACTACTTTATGGCCACCTTTCGGGCACGGCAACTACGCCGCTTGCTTTTCAAGCACTGTGACAGGTGAGGCCGTCCTAGAGGTATAGGACGACATCTAGGATGACCGCAAGGACGACGCCAAGGTAATGGCACAAGCAGGGTCGCCCGTTGAGCGACGCAAGACACTGAATTGTATTTTTATTGGTTTATATGATGCTTTTTTGCTGAATGGATCAAGTAAGGTTTTCGCCTTAAAGCATGCTTTACGAATGCCGTTATTAAATATTCTAAAAATGTCGTTTACAAAGCTTCCAAATTTCAATTTCTGAGCTATCGGAAAATTGCGACCATAGCTCTATGCAAGACATCTTGAAGTGGTCACCGACCACCACTCTTTGTTCTGGCTTGCTTCCCTCAAGGACCTAACCGTACTTCTCGGGCAATGGGCGCTAAACCTTCAGGAGTATGATTTTAATATCGTCTATAAAGGTGGTCATAAACATCAAGACGCTGGTGGCCTCTCTCGATGTCCACTTCTCCTTAACTCTACTACATTTGCTCCTTACAAAGACACCAGATATTCAATAGCTCCTATTTCCCGTGAGGCTTTACCTTCCGAGCGGCGTGCAAATCCGTGGATAAATCAGATAACAGCTTCCTCTTGAATGGCAGAAATCCGCCCAAAAATGAACGCTTTATCATACAACTCAACAGTTTTCCAGTATTGATAGGATTCTGATGTTAGCCTGAGACTGAGGCAGGAAAAGAGGAATTTTCAAAGTAGAAGAAAAAGGAACAGTCGAGGATACGTCTCTATCCTCGACTCGAATAGAGACGTATCCTCGACTGTTCCTTTTTCTTCTACTTTGAAAATTCCTCTTTTCCTGCCTCAGACTCAGGCTAACATCAGAATGGTTAATTTCCACCAGCTCGCCTGCGCACTCACTACAATATCATTGATAGGATGTTGTTTGGTCGAAGTTATGATCCACGAGGCAAGCGTTTGTACGTTTCTTGTCATATCTCAACATTTCCGACAATAAATATTACAACATTTACAAGACGACCCCACTGCCGGCCATCTCAGATTACGATTGAAAAGGTTTACTCCGATTTAACATAACAAATTAATAACAAAAGGTACAGACGTTCCGCCACCTATGCAGGTGGCATCTTCAGTGTACACTGACGCAAATGAGGTGAGGTCGACCAGTCTACTTATCACATACGTCCCCGTAAACGTCCGGCAGGGGGCCACGGTTGGTGTTGCACACCGATGCGTCACGGCGAATGAACCAGGACTCGACGGATTTTCTTTGCCCCCACCTTTGTTCTCGGGCCAGCGTCGTCGCATTGTCCAGGTCGAAACTGTGTCCTGTCGTCCAGCAGTGTTCGACAAGTTCCGTCTTGGACCGCGTGGCATGGGTGGCCTTGGCAACGTCCCTTATGTGTTCATTCAATCTCGTTGCCCTCTTTCTGCCCGTTTCGCCGGTGTAGGTCGCGTCACACTCCCCGCACTGCACTTTGTATACGACCCCACTCTGACGGTCTGCAGAGGTGCGGTCCTTCGGTTTCGGGAACACATTCGCCAAGGTATAATCTGGTTTAAAAACAGTTTGTACGCTTAGCGGGCGCAAAGCTCTCCGAGTAGCATCTGACACGCCCTGGACATAGGGAATAGATACAATAGACGTTGCCCGCATCGTGACTCACTCCCCCTTCCCGTCTGCATTCGCCTCTGGGTATCGTTAATAAACGTCCTGGGATAATGGCGCCGCTCTAACGCACCAACCGCATTTTCTACCCCTTGCAACCGTAGCTGCTTGTTAGAGCACACTGCATCACAACGTGATAAAAAGGTTCTTACAACGGACCGTTTGTGTTCGGTCGGGTGATGCGAATCAAAGGACAAACATTTTCCGGTGTCACACTGCTTACGGTACACCGTCGTTTCCACACTGCCATTACTGGCTCGGCGTACCAGCACATCCAAAAAAAGGCAACACATTATTTCTCTCTGTTTCGTACGTGAACTGAATGGCGTGGTGTACGCTGTTCAGCGCCACGTGGAAAGCATCCAGGTTAATTCTTTTCAAAATTACAAAAGTGTCATCTACGTACCTACAATACATTTTCACCGGAAAGGGTACTGAGTTTAGCACCCGTGTTTCGACGTGCTCCATCATTAAGTTTGCTACGGTAACAGAAATAGGACTTCCCATAGGGCACCCTTCGATTTGATGGTAAATCGTGTTGGCGAAACTGAAGTACGTTTGATTCAAGCAAAACCCCTACGGCCGCACGCTCGCACGGAACTTCAGCACAACTGCCTGAAAGCCAGAATACAGGATAACCAGCAACAAATACAGCAAGTAAGACGTCGTGTGTACGCGGCGGAAACCTGTCTCCGCTCTAGGCTTTGTCCCAATGATGTCCACGACATCATCAGGGCGCGCAAACAAGCTGAAGATTTGGAAAGAGGCAAGTGCACCGAAGTCCATCGCCAGAAGTTGTTCCGGTTGTTACCTTGCCATCGGCCAGAACAGGATAGTTTAGAAGCAGTGCTTAACTTTTCCTCGAAACGTCTATCGGACAACCACATGAGCTTATTGTCGAAGGGCCTGAATTTCGCAATCGCCCCACGGAAAGTGCCATCATCAACTTCCGGCGGCTAGGCACGACATACACTCTTCTCCTCACGGTAGAAGGCCCTACGATCCCGAGGTACGCCATATTTTCCTCCAGCGTCTACAAGCTTTACCCTCCGAAACCACTGAACAAGCTATGTCTTTACTGCTTTAGCCTGCAACATCGCTCAGATGTGTGCCCAAACCGAACTGAATATGTGTGCTGCGCCAATTGCTGCCAAAAGTTTCCACCCTCCCAGAACCCGTCCGAGACCCCCCACGAGTGTGACACCAAGTGCATAAACTCTCAGGGTGAACACGCTGCCACAGACCCTCGATGCCCTCGCGGAACAGAAATTAACAATAACGCGGGGCGGAGAGCTGAACCACGCCGATTACAGCCACCCCGGCCACCCCCCCCCCCCCCCCAGCGTGACTCATTGACAGACTGGCCGGACCTGCCCACAAGCAATCGCTACGCACTGCTGGCATCTCACCATCGGAGCAGAAGCAGGAGTCGGAGCTTCAGTCGCAATCGCAGCCAGAGCAGGACCAGCGGTGTGCAAGACAGGCATACCCCCAAGAAAAAGATACCACCACTTTTAAAACCTAAAGTTACGTTCGCCGAAGCCATGAATCTATCCTGGGAAAAACCAGCCGCCCGGGTGGCGTCGGCACCATTCCGGCGTACCCGCAACAACTCTCAAGAATCAGTAACGGAGACCCCAATATTTGAAACTTTGCGGAAGGAATGGCCACCCCTGTCGGTCATCGAATCTCATTCGTCGCAGTCAACAGCGACAGATCCTGTGAGTGGTCCGGCTCTCCCACCTCTCAACCCAATACCCACTCCCTCCCACCCACCCACCTCCATCTCTTCTCTACTCTGAAACTTTCACCGCCCAGCTCA